CCACAAGATCCCCAGTCCCGATCCTGAGCAAGAAATCTGTCTGCTAGACGCAGGCAAATACCAGCCTGAGATCACCTGTTCCGTAGCTGAATGAGTTGAGATCAGCAGAACAATGGGATGATTACATCATCTCTCCGAGATGGCAGCCTCCATCCTCCTCCGTGGTCAGACCGGTGACTGGAACCACCACTTCTCTCCTCTGTCTCAAAGCCGGAACTCAGCACCAAGCGCTGCCGATGTATCACTGGCGGGAGCCCCCCGAATCCGTATCGCTGTTCTCCCGCTCCTCGCTGTTCTCCAGCTCCGGCACCCTGCCGATCCCCAGCGCAAGCCACAGACAACCAGCCACTGAGCGATCAGGCTATGCAATCCTCCGTGCGGAGAAATGGAGCTCCCACAGCCGAACCTCGCACGATGGAAACCTGTCCATTGGATTCTGTAGCGCCTCAATTTCACTGGAAATTCCCAACAAGAAATCCTTCAGCCGTTTCATATCGTCTTTCACTGGCTCAGTGACGCGGCGCACTGGGGTGATGCACTCCCTTCGCCGCCATCTTCCGTCCCCCGCATTTGTGTCCTATTACATTCTGCCCACTTAAATCAGGAACCAAAAGAAGCGTTCTATTCTTCTTACTTTATTCCAATAAGCTTTTGCCAGCAAAATTTCATGTTTTAAAAAATACCTGTTTCAAGTGGCCTTACCAATGCATGAAGGCTTTTTCTAGATAAAAGTCAATCATTTTTGCATAATCATTTGTGCATATAATTGTAACTTCAGCAAATGCTTCATTTTAAAGGTTACACTAACATGCAGTACTGCATGTTACTAAACAATATTGCTGGATTTTTAAATCATAAAAATTAAATAATGCTTTAATTTGGTGGCCATACTTTAAGAAAGGTATGTTCCAAGAAAATAAATTAATCATGATTAGTAGACAATATGCAATAGCAATTTATATAAATATAAGTTTTATCCAGTAAAATAGGCTTCAAAATCCAGTAATTTAAATTTTCATGCTTGTCATCTAATTTGTATTAGGTATAAAGAAATATATTAGTGCAAATATGGATAAAGAATAAGCATAAGGAAAGTTTATCTTTGATAGCAATATTATCACCTCTCCGACCTCATATACAAAGTTTCATTATTCAGCAACATTATAAATGTCCATTGTCTGAAATAAAGTGCCCAACAAGAGTGTGGCCTGAAAACATAGTAGATACCTCCAGCAAGTAGTTCCCCACCATCTTCAAGATAAACTCCTAATGTCAAGCTAGATAGCACCTGTCTTTTCAACAAAATTCCCTGTAACTCATCTTCTTGCTCTCCAAAATGAACCATAGCAAACACTTGGAACATTAACTCTCCAGTAATATGAAATTGTTTGGCACTGTGGATTTATCTATACTGTGAATGGCTTTTTCTCTTCACATTTTATATGCACTCTGTCTTCCTCAACAGCCTGAAAATTTCTTGAACGTAGAAGCCCTTTCTTTTCTGCCTCTTTATCCACAGCGTAGTTTGCATGATACAGAATAGATATTCAATGATTATATGATAATTAATAATTTATAGAACTTATATAATTAATAATTAGTACTTGCATACTAAATACATGCATGCTCTACCAGAAATTTTAATATCTCCAAAGTCACTTGGTCCTCAGGGGATCCTGACAAATCTTCAGTTTTGATAGTCTTTTTAACAATCTTACTATTGTGGAAAAATTATAAGCCTTCTACTTGAATATACTTGCCAGATGTGAATATGGAATAGCTTCCAATAACCATGTGATAACTTTTATCTATTCCAGCTGTCCTATGCTATAGGAGTGAACATCTTAAGTGCCTGCATTTCAATAATTGGTATAACATTACTACTTTTTGAACTTATATTATTTGGTACAGTCTCAAATAATTCTCCTTGGTCACGCGTAAGTACCAGGTTTCTATGAAATTTCATCATGATTTTAGAATCATGCATCAAGTTCTTTGTGAGTGATGAGAGTATTTAAGTATTTTGTCGGTGATGGAGGAGACCCTCATCATTAATTTACTCTTTAATATTCATAGCTACTACAAATGTAATTCAAACTACAGGTTACAATTCCAAGCCTTGAACCAAAATCTCAAGTAACCAAATGAAAGGTAGCATAAATAATTAAAGTAGATATTTAGGGTGATTAAACATTATATTCAATATTGGACCCACCTGGTTGCCATGATATATTTATGATAGGCAGCTCATTCTTTCTAAGTACTTGCATCTCTAAGGACAGTTCTCCTAAAGTCTTAAAAGTTCAAGTTAGTTATAGCAAAACTTAATCTTCAAAAAAGGAAGTGACATCCTTAGGTACTTGTGATACATGTGCATGCAGTTCTACATGCACAGGACAACGTGGACATGTGTGCACCACCTTCTTTGTATCTGTCTGTTAGCAGGTCTGTGTGAGACTGTTCAAGGATGTTTATGTTTATATTTCAGTACCCGTATACATCTGTGTTCCTAGGCAGGTAGGGGTGCAGACGTGTGCTTATACACATAGGTTTATTAGTGTAGAGAGAAAGGGCTAGAATAGCAAAGAGGGAAGTCAATGTTCAGCAAATTATATAGAAATTGAAGCCTTTGGGGCAAACATCCTGTCGACAGATTCCCATCCTCCTGCTCTATCCTGTCTTCCTGGTATGACAAAGGTCTGAATGCCTAGACCTTTGCCCGAGTCCTAGAAACCAACTTTCTGAATTGATCCCATTAGATATTGCCCGTTTTTAAGTTCCTGGACTAATTAAGAAAGCTCTTTTTACTTCAAAATCCAAAACATCTGGTAAATTACCTAGTTCTGAAGCATGTTATTTTACATTGCTTCAGATTTTTGTTGTTTCTATGTAGCTTTAAAAGAGACTTTATACTGTGTGAGTCTACAAACTTTCTCAGGGAATGATCTACAGATCCTAAAGAAGCAAACTTAGAAATGTTAAGGTACTTACACATGGTCACAGGTTTAGCGCTTGAAGAATTTTTATTTTAATCAAGCGATTTCACCACACAAATGGAGCCATACAGAAATCAACTCAGTGGCACAACAAGAATGCTAATATTTTATAAAACATACCTTGATATACACCTTAGAGTTACATCTTAAATAAATACAAACATCAACATATTGCTTTAGATTTTATTTGCACAATAAGAAAAGCTCATTTTATTAGACAATCTTCAGTTTTGGTCTTACCTGTTTCATTATTCCAGTTTATCTGTTGAACCACCAATGATCACATCAGGAGGAAATCCAGGATCTTCCTCTTAAAATATTTTCCCTTAATAACCTTTCATATAATTCAAGAACACTGGGAGCCAAAGGTTCAATATTGACTCCAAATCCCTGGTTGATAAGAATCCTGGATTATCTCGTCAGTCCATAAACATGCTCATAGTCCACTACCATGGTTCAATTATTATTAAATAGGGTCATCATTATTTTTTTATTGGTTGTTCACAACATTACAAAGCTCTTGACATCTCATATTTCATACATTAGAATCAAGTGGGTATGAACTCCCATTTTTACCCCAAATACAGATTGCAGAATCACATCGGTTACACATCCACATTTTTACATACTGCCATATTAGTGACTGTTGTATTCTGCTACCTTTCCTATCCTCTACTATCCCCCCTCCCCTCCCCTCCCGTTAGGGTCATTATTGAGCACTGGTCTACAAAGCTCTGAATGGCTAGACTTATTTATCACAAAAGTGCTCTGGGAATCGAGGGAGCTTAGGACTCCTCTGTTACAATTTCTGTATTCTTGTCCTCAACCTAATTATCCCATAAGGGTATGGGATCTATCGGTGATGGTCAGAGGCATGATCCCAGAAGGAAACAGCCTAACTCCAGAGCATATAAACCCTTATGTTGAGCCCAGGTTATGAATTCACTGTGAGTTCCTCTTCAGGGTTCTTTACTAAACAACAGAATAAATTTTATACACCTCTCTAGAAAATAAGTTCTATAACACTAACCCTCAAAAGTATCTCACTAGCCTCAATGAAAAATCGCTAATGGTGTGCAGAACAGAAAACATGAAAACACGACCAGTGTCTCTCACTACCCATTTAGCAGAATATATTTGCTTATCATTATCCTTAGTAATTACCACTTATCATCATGCTATCTGTTATATATAATTATGATGTGTATTCAGCTATTGAGAGTATAGAGTGATTAGTTTTCCTCTTCTATTTTTCTTCTTTCTGTAATTTTATGATACTTTTATTAGTTTAATGGTATTAAGATATAAAGGTCTGTAAAGAATGTATGTTTCATTTTGGATGCAGAGAAGTGGTGCCCTCCTTTCAACGTATTTGTTCCTATTCAGTATCTTGGAGTTTTGTTTGGCAGTTATAGTGACTGACTGGGGATACAAAGCAAGCAAATAGAAGATAAAAGATGCAGTGAGTATCTCATTCCTCTCTAGTGAGCTGCCTTCCGTGATGAACCCTATTTAAAAAAACATCTTGATGAGAAGCATAAACCCATGCCATCTCTAAACTGTGACTGTGGGTACCTGAAAACACCTTGCAGTAACTCTAAGGTAGTAAATGGGTCTCCAATAACTGAAGATAAACAGATTTCTCTACTAAAGTGCTTTGTATTGCAGGGTGTTTTTATGTTCACACTTAAATGAGTGAATGAGGTAGACGATATATGGTTTTCTGGCTCCATCAAATGAGAGCAGGGCTCCATCTAAAGACATTGAAATTCATAAGGTTAAAAAAATGATAGTTCTAGTTATATGCAAAGTAGACAGACCCACATCTCATTCTTAATTCTCCTCTGAACAAAGTGAAAAGAGTAAGAATGTGAACATATATGAACATACAGTTTTCCACTTCAACTAGATGGAATTTAATCTGAGAGGAGAGAAAGAAGACAGAAGGAGGGAAGGAGAAGAAAAGGAAAGGGAAGGGGGAAGAAGAAAAGTAAAAAGCATCAAAGCACTAGTTTAATTTTATTTAGGACTGTCAGTATGAGAATATTTTATTAGAATTCTTTGCAAAATACTAGTGAAAATCCTATGTCTTCTTTTAACTTTAGAATGTATTGATGATCAATTTACTAGTGTCCACCTTACCCCAGTTTCATGGCAGAAGAAGATCCGTTTCCTGTGTATGAAGAACCATCATGACTTCGGTCAAGGAGGAGAGTTGAGTGGTGAATGACTTCATTTTGTCCAAACGACTTCTTGGAAAATATGATTTAATTAAGCCCTCCTTAGTATTTCCTTTCCTCCATTTCTTTAATAAAAATCAATATTGATGAATATGGTTATTTTTTTCTGTGTGAGGAGCTCAACATAAATTTATCTTGTCAGCATAAATTTATCTCAGGCTGACTATGGTCAGGCTCAGTGAAGACATTATTCAATGCAAGTAAATTCTACGAGTGGACACATGCTTCTGGAGTGTAATCTATATCTGATATTGAGAGGGTGAGGCAATAACTGCTAGCTCAAGGAAATCATGTCACTATGAAAAGGAAAATTAGTTATAAAGTTATAAATAGTCCCATTGTCTGGGAAGGAATGTTAGCTCTACACACTATTTCTAATATTTCTTTAGAAGGCATATTATAACTAGCCATCTCTTTATGTTATGGAGACTACTGCATTAATGTCTGCTGAGGGCCATTACCAAGTAGGAATGACGCATCGAAATTTCCTTGCCAAGCGTACCCCATGCTGCTTAGAGGACATTTGATGGGACATTGCATGCATGCTTTAATAAGGTGACCTTGCTCAAGGACCAAGGCGGATCCGGGTTTAGAGCTGATCAGGTTTGAGGAAGTAACCAGCTCCTTGAGTTTAAGGCGTTGCCAGTTTAAGATAATGGGTTTTAGGGAAGTTGGAGATTGAAGATTATTGCTGGGATTAGGGTGTTCCTGCTGCTTGTTGAGTTCTCGTGAGATTAAAATGGGATTTGGAGATAGCCTCGTGGAGTAGGTGAATTGTGCGGGAGATGGCAGAACGCGATTGCCCCTGGACCTGTGTGGAGGTGGTGTGAGAGCTGGAATAAAGAATTGCTGTTTGAATCTACAAAGTTGTGTGGTGGCTCGTAATTCTGGTGCCAAGCATTGACCTTGGCAAATGTCCACTGGAATTTAATTTAATTAATGTTTACTGGATTATGTTACATCTTTTGCTCAAAGTTTTACTTTATGGTTTCTAATGCTTTGAACTGTATAAATATTTTAGTAAATTATCTTGTTAAAAATGTTTTGTTGCGTCTATAAGGACCATCCTGTAAGTTTTCCGTTGCTGTGACAAAGTACCTGAGATAAACGAATTATAAGGAGAAAAGGTTCATTCATGTTTGCCTGTATCTGTTGCTTTTGGTCCTGTGGTGAAGTAGAACATCAAGTCATATCATACCACACAGAAACAATCTGACAAAGTCAGAATGTGGGAAATTATAAGGGATATATGACCTAGTTTACTCAGTTAATATAGTTTTTTTAAAGGAGGGGAAATCATTAATAGATTAATATGACAGGTCTAGCAACCCAATGCAATAAGCATATCTTGTGGATGAAATAAGGTCACAAAGTATAATTGTAGAGGCTGGGCAATGGCTACATGGGGTTCATCAGATTCTTTTTCCATGATAAAAAGTCAACCTTTCATCGCTTCTCATCTCACTCATAGGTAAAGCCAAAGTCCTAGCAAGGCCCTGGGTTCACCTCCCCATCACCTGGCTGCCTCTCCTCACTCTCTCACCAGCCAGCTGTCCTCCTTAAACACCCTCAGATCCTATCCTCCTGCCAGCCCTTGGGTCAGAAATCTCCTCCACACATCAGCATGATTCTTTCCTTCAGGCTCCTCAAAAGACTAGCCATGGAACCACCATAGACCCAGCTGTCCCACTTCTCACTATTTACATTGGAGAATTAAAGTCATCACACTCCAGAGCTACATGCACACCCATGTTTATAGCAGCGCAATTCACAACAGCCAAACTCCGGAAGGAGCCTAGCTGTCCATCAATGGATGAATGGATAAAGAAAATATGGCATATATACACAGAGGAGTTTTATTCTGTCATAAAGAAAAATAAAGTCATGGCTTTTGCAGGAAAATGAATAGAATCAGACAACATCATGGTAAGCAAAATAATTCAAACTGAGAATTTTGTCTCCTAAGTGGAAGCTAGAGAGGAAAAAGGAAAAGGTGGGGGTGGATCTCCTCGAAACCAAAGGGAGATCTTTAGAGGAAAGGGACTGAGGGATGGAAAGTGGGAAGGGAGAGGGGAAGCGCTGGGGAGCGATATTGTCAAATCATGTTGTACCGTGTGCATGTGTGAACATGCACCAACAAATCCCCTCAATATGTACAACTATAATGCACCAATTTAAAAATGAGGGGGGAAAGACCATATTGCATCTGAAGACAAATTCTCTCTTCACCTCCTCTAGGTCTTCAATCACGTCATCGTCGCAGGGTAGTTTTACACTTGACACTTTTTCATTTTACATTTCTGTCTGCCCTGATTCCCTTCTGTAATTTCTTTTTCTCCTTAGCTTATGGAACCTGCTTATTGTTGGTTTCTCCCTCCTTAATATAAACCCCCCAAAGGGCAGGGCATTTCCTCTGCTTTCTTCCCTGCTGTGTGTCCAGCCTTGAAGACAAGGCCTGGCACAAGCGGGCACTCAAGGAAACATGTACTGGATTAACTGGCCAAACGCAGAATGTTAAGGAGCTCAACAAATGTTACTCCCACCTACTATTCGTCATTACTCGTCTGGTGCAAGTAAACTGGCAATTTAGGCTAGATCTTTCCATCGTTCGCTTGTTCCTACTACGTGCTGGAGGCGGTTGATAAGCAATAAGTCGTGTGTGTGGTCGTGTGTGATTCCCGCGCCCCCAAGCCAAAGAATAAACCGAGGACCAAAGACGTTCAGCGGAGCCTGGTGGCCACCACGTCCTGGGGAAGGGGCTTGGGGTGGGGAGCTCCCAGACCGAGGCTCCTTCCAAGGGGGCGTCTCTGCGTCAGTGAGGGGGCCACCTGCCTCTTCCCCTGGGTGTGCGCAGGTGCAAGGCAGAGCGCGAAGCTGACCCCCCAGGACAGGGCGGCCCCTCTGCCAGCGCACGCCCACAGCCAATCCTGGGGCTGCGACACCAGGTGACGCCTGGGCTGCCCGCGCCGGTCCCTCGCGCTGCGTTCTCGGTGGCCGCGCTCCCGGCCACAACCGCAGCGTTAGAACCTCGGAGCCAGATGAAGAGGAACCACCAGGGAGCGGGTGGCTCTGGCTCCGCAGGCTGCGAGGCTGCGAGGCCCGGGACTGAGGCCGCTGCCCGCGCCTAGACCACACCTAAGTGCAGACACCTGCAGGGGGCAGGAAAGAGGGTATTCCCCAGGACCCTGGAATCCCAGTGCTCCCCAAAACACAGCTGGGAAGAGCCTCGGGTGAAACATCACGGTACTCTTTATGTGCTCCTCTCAGTGACCCCATTCCAACCTGTGTTTTAAACACACAACATCTTCTGGGGGTGAGTCCCTGGGGTGGGGGCCGGTAAGTTGACTAACTCAAGGAAGAGAACACGAGGAGAGTGTGGTGACTTGGGGACTCCGGGAACAACAGCAAGCGGTGGCAATACTGACTGGCCTTTCACCCTTTGACAGTATTCCCATATTCCTTGTGGCTTTGGAGATGTTCCTTGGTTTTTGCATCAACAGAAACTCATTCTTTATGATAGGAATGACCAACTCTCAATGACCATGAGTTGAGTTTCCCTGATTGTGCATTTCGTTTCCTGGCTGGTCTATCAAGCATTGCTTGGGACCATCTGTAACTATGAGTAAGAAGTAAATTCTGCTCCTGTTCTCCAGAGAGCCCCTATGTCAGAAGTGGCTCTTCTGAGAATCACCTCCTGGAATTCAGATGACCTACCCATATGAATTTTTGCCCCTCAACATCAAAACAGAGTTTTGATTTCTCTATTCAAGCCTTTTTAATACAAACCACATGCTTAATTTCCTTCAGTTCATGGCTCTGGAGAATGCAAGTGCCTTTGTGGTAACCTTCCAAGACTGCCCAACATTAATAAATGCCAGAAAACCTATTTTAAGACTGACCTTCCCAAACACATTTCATGCCTGGTATAAACAAATCTACCCAATTTATACAAAATGTGGTGACAGAGAAATTTAATTTTATTTATCAGATTGATTCTGTAAGCAACTATTAAATTCCAACAATTTGCAAGTATTGTGAGAGACAGACACAGCAATACCATTTGAGGCTTAACAGCAGGAAAAAAATATATATGGGGAATCCATGAGTATACTATGAAATGGTAGTGGGAATGTCAGTGGTCAAGAATGACTGTCTGCTACATAAGGGAAAGAAAGGGGGGAGTCAAACATAACCTGGCACTAATGAGCCACACAAAGGAATGTATTCTGGGACCCCAGGCATCAAAAAGCCCTTGAAAGGTTGCAAGCAAGTGATTTTCATGTATTATTTCTAGTTTTAAAGTGTCACTGTAGGTTTTGTGAAAGTAGATTTATGGCTTTAGGTTTCCTGCTGTGATTACTGGGTTATTGCTTTGTGTTTTTGTATTCTATAGCAAGCTATAGCAAGGGAGCATCTCTAATGTTGACCATTAGACAGTTAGGAGTCATAAAAATGCTGTAGTTGATGATACCTTAGGAGAAGCAACCTGCAAGCTCAGTCTCCCAGCCTGAGGAAGCCATAGTAATGGCAGAAGCCATATTGCATTTGATGGACAGCTTCAGGACACCTTCCTGTGAGTTACATTAGTACGGGAACACACTAGGATTGCTGCTGCAGCTATCCAAGAATAAGTTCATCAAGACCTATACTCAATTCAGGAAATAACTGAAAGGCACAATGTGAAACAACCAACCAGCTTGTTTTTAACAAAATACAGAGAAGAGATCAAAACTAGTACCCAAAACTATGGGAAGGAATCTGGTAATGAAGTAACTGGAGACTGTTGAAGGGCAACAGCAAAGAAGTATTATTGGCATTTGACCATAAGCCATTTCTATTGATTATCTCCCAAAACAACTATATGGGATTAGAAAACCCATTCACTGAAATATTAAGTGAATATTTAATATTAAATATTAAATTAATATTTAATTTCTAATGTGCTCTAGCCATTAGAAATCACTATTAGTACAATACTAGGTGGAGACTCATTACACAATTAGAAATTAATATAGATAAGATTTGACCGGGTCTATGTCCACTGATTCCACAAAACAAAGCTCCATTTTCCTCAGTTTTGTGTGTCATTAGTACTTGCACTTGCTAACTGATGCTTAAGATTTGAAAGTTGGTGTACATTGGAAAGAAAACTGATATAAGCAAAGATTTTGAAATCCAGAACTTAAGTCTAAGAGTTGGCTATGAGCAAAAGATTGAGAAAGAGAAGTCTAAACCAGAGAAAGAATCCATCGCATCAGATACTATCAAGATTAAAGAGTAAATTCTCAAAGCTATAGGATAAGAGTTACAGGAAAACAAGGCAAAATGTATAAAAAAATTTGATTTCAAGTAACAGGAAACAACTTGTGATATATGAAGCAAAATGTATTTCCCGAGGACGGGAAGGCATCTTCATTTCAGGAAAGAATTGTAACTAGGAAATATAATGTCACGAGGAACTTGGTTTCATTTCAAGAGACAAGCCCAGACTAAAGCTATGATATTTTAGTTTTAAATATCAAACTCCTGGGAAAGAGATGCTGATAGATCCAACCAGATTCCCCACCACTCTCCCAAGTAGGTACTATCAGGGTATTTCCTACAGGTGATAACGATGAAACTGAGCTTTTAGGTTTGTGTCCCAAAAGGTTATTCATCATCGTAGAGTAATGGCTGCCATAACTTTTAAACATCTTCACTACCCTTTCTTATTGGTCACTTAACTGTGGAAACTACCTTTCCCAACATTGAAACCAAAAATGATATTCTCTAGCCTCACGTGCAGTCAGAATGCAAACATTTGTTCTAGATCCTGCCAATCACATATTTTTGCACTAGAGTTTGGTAGAGATCAACAAAAAAGACCCTACAATGGGTATAAATTCTCCTTGGACAGCCCAGGAAACAGGGAGAGGTTTCTCAAACAAATTGGTTCTGCTGTAGAGTCCGGGGGTGAGAAATGGCAAGATCTGTACTCTTCCTCAGTACAGATCCATGGTTTGGCTCTGGGCATTGTTTGACCAGTTTAACCTGCACAGTGATTTATTTATTTATTTATTTGCTTAAGTCAGACAAATCCAATTCTGTTTGGTGCCCCCAAGAATCTGAAGGACTCAAGTTTCATTGGAAGTTGATAAATATGGATAAAATCTAATAGAACAATTAGAATTGGCAAGAGGCTAGGTATATCCAAGAGAGTTTATCAGTGAGCTGGTTTTAAATATTTGTTTCATGGAATTGTTTCATTGTGAAAAATTAGAGAAAATAACAATAGATTTCTCAATGACTTATAACTGCTTGATCTGAGAAAAATCACTATTTATTTTTCTGTTTTCAAAAATTAGTTTCCACTCGTTTTCTATAATATCTGTGCCACGCTTGAATAACAACATGCCACAGACCTTCATCTTATTGAAAGAAGAAACCAGAATGTTGGGGGTAAGTTCTGAATGCCACATGAGTGGATAAGTGTCTTTGACATTGCAAGTTCCAGATATTTAAAGCAGAAGACATTGATTTCCATCTCAGTTACCCAGGGAGGGAATCAATAAACTGAGGTCTGGCAATCCCACCACTGTGATTTCCCCTTGATCGACATATATCTGTAAATAGTTTGAAGTAAATCTGAGACTGAGTCCTAAACGAGGTGATTAGAGGTTATGGTTTAGCGATAATCACGGCCACAGGGCTCGGACATCAATCACCTAGTGGCACTGTGTTCTTGACATCCTTTCTGCATTCATCTCAGTTCCTCGATTCCAACCAAACATCTGGCATGCTACATTTCCTGTATCATACACCCTTGTTAGACTATAAAACATCAGGACTGTACAATACAGTGGGCTCAGGAAAATGCCTGTGATCATTGGGGCCCTATCTTAGAATCAATATGATTCTGTGGTTGCAAATATGGAGTGTTGAGGGTCAAAACTGCCATCAGGAGAAAAACATTGCCGCATTAACTAGTTGATGTGGGTGGTAGAAAAGTAACACAGAGAGGAGCTGGATTGGAAGGCGGTGTATCCAAGACTAAACCCACAAGAAGCTGCGACAGAAGGGACACCCAGAGATCACAGCTCTTTTTCTAGAAGTTAGAGGTGTGTGACTTTCTGATCTGGAGCTTAAACAAGCCCCCAGACACCTCCATTTATCCAAAAGCAGCCTCACCTCTAAATGTCACTAAAAATTCTCAAAATCCCTGTGTGAACCCCAAGTAGATATTTGAAGCCCAATACCTTCTTTCGTCTCCCTGAATTCTTCCCAGTTTTTGAGAATTTTTAGGACTGAACGAGAACAGTAGTCGAGACCCTCTTGATTTCAAAACATAAAAGCCAAATGCCCCTTTATCTTTTCTGTCACCTAATTCGTAAAGCTATTGAGATAGGACATGTCTTGCATAATTGATTGTGACATTCTTTCCTTACAGGCTGCCCAAATAATGATTGGTCTGATTCACAGTGCTCTGGGACACGTCTGGACGCTTTTATATATGAGACAATTGCATTCGTTTTCCAAAATATACCGGCCTTTTGTATTGCTATCAGGATACCCATTTTGGTCATTTGTATTTGTGAGTAAATTATCTTGCTGATGATCATTGATTTAATTGATTTGTTTAACTTATTTAGTGTCTGCTTCTGCAGCCAGGCAATTTGCTAGAGTTATCACCGGTGCAAATGCATAACCCCAGTTATGAAGGAATTCCTTCTTGTACCTTTGAAGATATTTTACAATGTTATGTGTGTTTATGAAATTCTTTCATACAGTCTGTTTGAAGACCAGGACTTCAATGTTGAAGCATTAGAAAGAATTTTAAAAGTAATTCGTCGACAAAGAAGAGAAATCAGAATTCTATTGGCTCAAGAAGAACTTGGATAAATTCAACAGGGATTTCTAAAGGATTTGTATTGTCTTATAATACATGGAAAAATGTTACATCCCTTTCCATTTTTCGACGTGCTTCTCAGTAATATCTGTCCAGCTCACAAAAATGTTTAGTTAATTTATTTACCAGATATTTAGTGAATACCTACAATGGATCAGGCTCTGTTCCAAGTGATTTTGTTACAGCAGTGAACAAAAGAGACCAGGATTAAAAACATACACCTATCAAGAGTGGTTTATGAAGAAACAGAAAATAGAACAAAACACTATCAATAAGGAGATAGAATCAGTAACCAAAAACCTCCCAATGGCAACAAAAACCTAAGACCTGAGGGTTCTACCGGTTAATTCTAGCAAACATTTAAGGAATTAATGCCAATTTTTAAACTCTTTCAAAAAAAATGAAGAAGGAATACTTCTAAACTCATTTTTGAAACCAATATTAATCTAATATCAAAAGACAAGGACACTATAAGAAAAAAAATACATATAGGGTAATTCCCCTGATGAACAAATATGTAAAAATTCTCAATAAAATGCTAGTGAACCAATTTTAACAATGCATTAAAAGCAATATGCACCATGATAAAGTTAAGATTCATCCCAGGAATGCAAGGATGATTCATAACATACGAATCTATAAATGTGATATGCCACATTAACACCAACATGAATAACAATTATATATGTGAAATTTTAGTAAACTTTTATGATTAAAAATTCAATGAATTAGATATTGAAGAAATATACCTCAATTCATTAAACACTGTATGTGTGAAGCCCACAACTAACATCATACTCAATAGTGCAAAGCTCAAAAATTAGGGAAAAGTTAAAAGACACCCGCTCTAACCACTTTCATTAAATATGGTGCTAAAGGTCTTAGCCAGAGTAATTAGGCAAGAAAAAGAAATTAAAGTCATCTAAACAGAAAGAAGGAAATTATCTCTGTTTGCAGATGACAAAATCTTTTATATGAAAAAGTCTAAAAACAAAACAATTTTTGTTTGACTTATAGAATTCATAAATAAAGTTTCAGAAAGCAAAATCAACATATAAAAATCTATTTCATTTCTATACACTAACATTTGACTATCTAAAGGCAAAATCAAGTAAATAATCCCATTTATGAAAGTATCTAAAATCTAATCAAAGAAGTGAAAGAACTGTATTCTAAAAACTATAAAATATTGATAAAAAAATGAAGAAGACTCAAATAAAAGACTTACAATGTTCTTGGATTGGAAGGATTAATATTGTAAAAATCACCATGCCACCCAAAGTGATATATAGATCCAATCTAACCACTCTGAAAATTCCAGTGACATTTTTCACAAAAATAAGGCAAAAAACTCCCCAAGTTCATATGGATCCACAAAAGATTCTAGATAAATTGTGCTTTCTTAAGCTAAAAGGAGAAAGCTGGGAGCATCAAAGTATATGATCTGAAAATTTACTGCTAAGCCACAGAATTCAAAACAGGATCATATTGGCAAAAACAAATATATAGATCAGTGTAACAGAATAGGACGACAAGAAATAAACTCATGCAAATACAGTCAACTGATGATTGACAAAGGTGCTAAGATCAAGAGATCTTAATGTGGTCAAGAGAGTCTCTTCAATAAAACTGTGGTGGGACAACTGGATTTCCAAAGACAGAAGAGTGGAACCTACATCCTACACCATTCAGAAAAATCAACTGAACGTGAATTAAAGACTCAACTATATAAGAACAAAACTGTATAAAGCTACTAGGGAAAAATGCCTCTTTGGTCTGGGCAATTATTCTGGGTATGACCCAAAATGCATAGCACCAAAAGCAAAAAAAATATACAAGGAGGATTGCCTCAAACTAAGAAGTTTTACCCCACAACGGACACAATCAACAGGGTGAAGAGGCAACCTGCAGAAGAGGGGGGAAACATTTGCAAACCATGCTAACAAGAAAAATATATAAGAAACTCTACCAACTCAATAGCAAGAAGTGAATCTAATTAAAAATGGGCAACAGACCGGAATAGACATCTCTCAAAAGAAAACAGAAATGTGGCTGACAGGTACATGAAAACAGTATTCAACATCACCAATCACTAGGGAAATGCAAATTAAAACCACAGTGACCTAGCACATCACACCCGTTAGAATCAGAAGGACAAAAGATAACAAGTCTTGGTGAGGATGTGGAGAAAAGGGGAAATCTTGCACAGTGTTGGGGGAATGTAAAATAGATTCACCATTATAAAAAAAAAACAGTATGGAGGTTCTCAAAAAAAAATTAAAAATAGAAATATCATTTCTCCCAGCAATTTCTCTTCTAGGCATATATACCCAAAGGAAATTAATCAGTATGTAAAAGATATCTGTACTCCCATGTATACCACAGTATTATTCCTTATGGCCAAGATATTCATATATATATGAATATATATATATATTCATTGAATATATATCAATGAATATCTATCCATTGATAGATATTCATCTATCAATGGACACTTATCAACCTAAGTGTCCATTGATAGATGAATGTAAAAACTGTGATATGGAAAGCAGAATAGCATTCAACCTTAGAAAAGAAGGAAATCTAGTCATTTTTGATACCATGGATGAACCTGGAAGACATCATGTTACATAAAATAAGCACAAGAAGACAAACAGTGTATGATGTCATTTATATGCAAAGTCAAACTCATAGAAACAGAGAGTAAATGGTGGTTGGCAGAGGCTCCCAGATGTGTTGTTTCATTATGCAAAATCTCAATTAGACAGGAGGAATAAGTTCTGGAGATAGTTGTATAGAACAGTGACCAGAGTCGGGTGTTGTAACCTTGAAAATTGCCAAGACCATATATCTTACATTTCCTAATTAAGAGTGTCACAACACATGCACAGATGAAAACATCATATGCGCCACCAATAGACACAAGTTTTATTTGTCAATTATGCATCAATAAAAAAAATTTTTTAAAGAGCAGACCAAGATTCCTATCCTTGTAAAATTTGCCTTTTAGTGAAGGATAACATGTTAGAAGATGAAAAAGTCTAGAAAAGGAAATAGAGAAGGGTAATGAGGCCTGAAGCTAGCACCGGTTGCAATTCTTTTTTTAAAGCTGGTCAAGACTTGTTGAGAAGGAAACAACCTGAGCTGAGACCCGAAGGAGCTGAAGCAGTCGACCCCAGAGGCATCTGGAGAAAGAGGGTGTGAAAGAGAGAGTAGCTCCTAAGTCGAAAAGTCTCAGAGTTTGCTGAACAACAAGGAGGCTAGTTTGGATGGAGCAAACAGTGGAGAGACCATAGGTAGGAAAAGAGGTGGGTGAAATGACAGGAGGTGACACCGTCTGAAGATCTGTATTCATTGCATGCACGAATAACATTGAGAACCACTGCAGGTTGCTGAACAAAGGGAAGAGAGGCTCAGAGGTAAGTATTAAAAGAATATTAAAAGATCATAAAGAGGCTGGGCAGGGTGGTGCACACCTGTAATCCCAAAGGCTGGGGAGGCCGAGGCAGGAGGATCTCAAGTCCAAGGCTAGCCTCAGCCACTTAGCAAGGCCCTATGCAAGTTAGCAAGACCCTGTGTCACAATTTAAAAATAAATAAATAAAAAGGACTGGGAACATGGCTTGGTGATTAAGCACCCCTAATTCAATCCTGGTACCAATAAATAAATAAAACTAAAAGAGTGAAGAGAAAAGCAAAGAAACCTAAAATCTGATTACAATTATCCATGTTAGAGATGATAGTGGCTCAAATCAGGGGAAGTAGCCACGAATGAAAAGAAGTTGACTTTAGATACGTTTTGAAAATGGTGCCCACAAGATTTAGTGATGGACCGAATGAAAGACGCAAGAGGAGAAGAAAAGGAATAACATGGACTCTCAAATAATATGGACTCTCAAATATTGGCTTCAGCCAATAGAATGAATGGATTTGCCGTGGACTCCGATGAGCAAGACCAGGCCAGAGCTGGTTTGAAGGGAGTATAATGCAGGTGTTCCCGTGAAGGTACATTGGGTTTCAAATCTCTTTCAGACCCCAGGCAGAGACGTCAGCTGTCCTAACTAGTAGATGAGTCTGGAGCGTGAGACATGAGCGTGAACTCAGGGTCCTTGGACTCGGAATGGGTCTAAAGTGCTGTAAGACAACCTGAGATTACCAAGAAGTGATCTCCTTTGTGTGGACAGGTAGAGAAGAGGATCAAGGCATGAGGCCAGGGTGTCTCCAGCAACAGGAATTCAGACTGAAGAGGAATTACCAGAAAAGATAATTGTAAGAAGGAGAAAAACACAAGCATATGCCACTCCGGAAGCCCACTGAAGAAAGTAGAGCCAAGGAAGAGAGACCAGTTACTTCTCAAAGACTACAGATAGGTCGCATTAAATGAGATAGGATCCAAACTTGCCAGGGGGGGGGCGGTTGAAATGCTGAGGTCATGACCGATCCCATCAAGAGAAGTTTCAATGGCAAAATAGAACTGAAAATCTGATGGGAGTGTGTTTAAGAATGAATTGGAAGGTGAGATACCAAGTCTGGACAATTCTTCATTGAATTTTCCTGCACAAAAGAAGAGAAGTGATGTGGCAGTAGCTGACCCAGCCAATGCAGTATGTGCTTTCTTTCTGACACAGTAATTACCCGAGTCTGGCTTCAAGGTTGTGGCGGGAACCTAACAGTAAGTTGAGCTCATTGGTCACCCAAAGTGGCTAAGCTGAGCGTGGGTCTCAAATATTTGCATGCGATGTCATTAGTACATCATTGTGCAGTAGGAAAGCCACCAGTAACCACAGAGACAAAAGCAAGTATCACCTCTAGTCCCAGGATTGTCCTTGGACCCACCATGCAATTTCACTGAATTGTAATTACCCCTCACCTCGGTTAGTTATTTGCCCTTATTCCTTCTCTCTCTCAGGACTTCACAGCAGGTGTCACCCTCGTTCCTTCTCCTGGAGAGGTGGCCCCCAGACCCTTATGCTCATTGTCATATAGAATCATAGAGTTTCATGTTCTTCACATACTCTAACACAGCATGAAAACTCTTCTCATGTTTCTACTGGCTTGATAACTATCCGTCTCAGATCTTACGATGATTTGTCGGTCTCTTCTGATTTGGGGTTTTGTTGTTGTTGTTGTTGTTTTGTTTTGTTGTTTTGTGGTGCTGGGGATTGAACCCATGGCCTCGTACATGCAAAAAAAAGGAACTTGCCCTTCTCTCCTCACTATGGATTAGCTGATCTTTTTAATGTCCTAGAAAGACCGCCTGCACACAGGGTTTATACCACTGGGAGAGAAGTCAGTCTCGCACCAGAAACAGTTATCCTTCCAGCTTGTGCAGGAAAGGGTAGAGTATTCAATAAAATAATCAGGTGTCCTAGGTTTGGAGGACACTGTGTGACTCTCATATTTCAAAAATTAAACTGAAGTTTAACACTTCAAATACTATGTTCAGTTAATGTCATATTTTTCAATAACACTGAACTGCAAGCAAGCTCACCAACTCCAAATAGCAGTGTATTTTCTTTTTCAAAAAAAAATTAGTGTATATTTTAGATTTGATGTTATGGAATACAAATAGTTAAACAGTTACTTTAGAGAAGTGCATTAACATATTTATCTTCTCACATACCTTTTGTATCAGAGCAGCTAAAATCTACTCATTCAGCAAATATCCCTAATGCAGTACAGTTTTGTTAACTTTATTCCTCATTCTGTATATTCCATCTCTAACCGAGTTTATTATTTGTATGTGCTATTTTGCATCTTTTGACCTGTATCTCCCCCTTTTTCTTTCCTTTCCCCCCTGCCCATGGTTGGGTAATGACTATTTCCAATCTATCTCTGTGTATTTGACCTCTTTTATTACTCCACAAACAAAATTGTGGAGTATTTTTCTTTCTCTGTGTGACTCATTTCTCTTAGCACAATGTCTCTATGTCTGTCCACGCTGTAGCATATGCCAAGATTTCTTTTTTCAAGGCCAATCATCATATTCCGTTGTGTGTGTGTGTGTGTGTGTGTGTGTGTATGTGTGTGATTGTATGTCACATTTTTTACCCATTCAGGAATCAAGTAAGAAGTTATTAAATAAAACTAGATATGTTTAACAATACCCAGAACCTAAGGAGCCTAAGGAAGAAGGATCACAAGTTTGAGGCCAGACTAGGCAACACCCCAAGACCCTGTCTCAAGATAAAAATTTTAGAAGGGCTGGGGGATGTACTCAGTGGTAGAGCACCCCTGGTTTCAATCCCCAGTACCACAAGAAAATTACCCCTTAGTCCCATCCCAAATACAAGAGTCACATTAATTCTATAATGATTCTCCCTCTCTGTCTAATAAAGAATAAATGGATTTAATACTGTTGGCCATATGTTGGCAATAAATTATCTCACCTTTTGTTGGCTTGAAAACAACCTCTAATGCTTTTGTTCTGAAATATTCTTATGTGTATTTTTTGTGTGATTTTTCCAGGGGCTACCTCAGAACTCCAGTGAAAACTGTGTATTTCAGTCCAATCTCTCTCAAACTTCAATTAACTATTAGGATGGACTTCAAGAATGTTATTGAAGTTATGAGGAAATCTCCTGGGTAATAATGAAAAAAAAATTGATGTATTTCTTTTTTATCCCCAGTATGTCATATCAGGAACTTTTGCAGTAAAAGCAGAGAAGGAGCAATCCTTATTATTGGTAAGTCAGAATCATTGAAACAATTCCGGAGAAAGGATTTTTTAATTTGTCAAAAACAAGGATGCCAGCAAGGAGGAGTTATTACAACTTCTTAAACAATAGAATTTTGATTTCCAATATTTTAAACAGATACATTTCAACAGAGTTCATGTCTAATTTTATAAAGCATCAAGATAATTACAGAATGCATGAAGCAAAACAGAGAATCAGAGACGAAAATTTTAAGTAGGATAAGCATGTCATTCTTTTCAAGTTAAGATATTATTGTGCCAGAAACATCAGGCACATCCAGTCATAACAGCAAGAGAGAAAATATGCAATTAGAACAACAGTGTTAAGATTTACTGAATGGTGTCTTACTAA